GGTGGTACACGCCTGTAATCCTGACTACTTGGGAGGCCGAGGCAGGAGAATCGCTTGAACTCGGGAGGCGGAGGTTACTGTGAGCTGAGATTGCGCCATTGTACTGCAGCCTGGGCAACAAGAGCAAAACTCAAAACAAGAATGTCTCAATTTAAAAAAAGGATTATTCTGTTATAAATGGAATTTTAAAAACTTTATTTTCAGGTTGCTCATTGTTACTGTATAGAAATACGATGGATTTTTGTGTGCTGAATTTGTTTAGTAGTCCTAACTGGGCTTTTTTTGTGGAATCTTTGGGCTTTTCTACATGTGAAGTTGTATTGTCTTCAGAGATAATTTTACTTCTTCCTTTCCAATTTGGATACCCTTTTTTTTTTCTTGACAAATTGCTCCGACTAGAACTTCCAATACTGTGTTGAATAGAAGTAGGAAAAGCAGGCATACTTAGTTTTATTCCTGGTCTTACAGGAAAGCTTTCAGTCTCATCACTGAATATATTAGCTGTGTGCCTTTGTTACATGGCCTTTATGATGTTGAAGTAATTTCCTTTTATGCCTACTTTGTTGAGTGCTTTATTGTCATAAGGTATTGAATTTTGTTAAATGCTTTTTCTGCATCAGTTCAGATTATCATATAGATTTTTTCTTCATTCTATTAGTGTGGTATTATTGCATTGATCCGTTCTTATATGTTGAACCACCCTGCATTCCAGGGATAAATCCCACTTGGTCATGGTCTATACTCCTTTTAATATGTTGAACCACCCTGCATTCCAGGGATAAATCCCACTTGGTCATGGTCTATACTCCTTTTAATATGGTGCTGAATTTGGTTTGCTAGTATTTTGTTGACAATTTTTGCATCAAATGTTCATCGGGGTATTGGTCTTATGGAATGAGTTAGGAAGTGTTCCCTGCTCTTCCATTTTTTGGGGAGAATTTGAGTATTGCATTCTGGTTTAAGTATTTGGTAAAACTCGCCAGGGAAGCTGTCTGGTCTAGGACTTTTGTTGACAGATTTTTGATTACTGATCCAATCCCCATAACTAGTTAACGGTCTATTGAAACTTTGTATTTCTTCTTGATTCAGTCGGTAGGTTGTGTGTTTCTAGAAATTTTGCTGTTTCATCTAGGTTACCCAGTTGTTTGGTGTACAGTTGCTCATAGTACTCTTACCATCCTATTTCTCTAAAATCAGTAGTGTCACCTCTTTCTTTTCAGATTTTAGTTGTCTTTTTTTTAGTCATTCTAAGAACCAAATCCTAGTTTCATTGATTTTGTCTTTTTCCTGCCCTAATTATCGTTTCCTTTGATTTTGGGGTGATATGAGATGTCCTTTGTCTCTTTTAACAGTTTTTACTTAATGGCCATCTTGTTTGATATTAGTATATCTGTCTTAACAAAATAACTGAACACATTTATAGGATGACAGGGTTCCATTAACATGTCATGAAGGTAGATGAGGTGAAATCAGTGGCACTGAGACAACCTGGCTTTATAAACAGAAGGTAGTATCTGCAGTCCCTAAAGGTGAAGGGAATCTGGGAGGAACACAAGTGATGGATGTAGGTGGGTACCACATGCTGACTGAGCTTTTTCAGCCTCAGAGGCACTCTCAGAAGGGCTGGGGCAGGAGAATTCAGGGGAGAGGTGAAAGTGGATAAGATTTAGAGGGAGAAATAGTTTCCCTAAGTTATTCATCACAGGGCAAAGTATAGCAATGAGAAATGGGTAAGATTAAAAACAAACAAAAACCAACAGACCTTCAGCAAGAATAGGCTTCCCCCTTCCCCTCTTCCTTTAATAAACCATGTGGCTTTTTGCAGTACAAACACCTGAAATGTAAACATGACCCTCATGTTAAGATTGAAGGGAAGGACACTGATGACTGGATGTGCGTGGATTTTGGTAAGTTATTCTGGCGTATTTTACAGGTAACTGATGGTACTGCACTAATCTTGAGTTGTTTTCAGTTGCAAAAGGATTGAGATCAAATTGATGAATGTATTCCCAGGTAAGATTTTTGAAGTGTGTTTAAGGTAACAAAAGCTTTTTTAGTTATAATCCAGGTGGTCTTATTCACATGTAGAATTTTCACCTAACCAAGCCAAAGTACCCTAGGTAATGCGCATCTGGAGGAAGATATATACCACATGGTGTGTATCTACTAGCCATACAGATCAGGAAGGTGGTGGACAACAGAGTAACATAGTAGAGGCGGGAGAGATTCCTTAGTAGTGGTAGAGGAAGGTTTGGGGGCTGGGGTGCATAGATGAGGATGAGGTTATTCCAGGCACAAGAAAGGACAAGAGCAGAGGACTAGAATTTTGAAAAGGTCTAACAACTTTGGGTATTAATGTGTACATAGTTTCAAAGCACCTCCCAACAAGATACTATTTACAAAGGGGAAAACATAGCTGTATGTCAAGAACTGAGGAATCTTGAGATTTTATTCTACTGGTAAGTTAATAAGTTGTCCCGCCAGTTTTCATGGATACTGGTAAAAGCCAAGACTATTAGAGGGTTAGAGACAAAGGACAGTTTATTACAGCAGTAGCCAGCATCCATTTTGCACTGGTTTCCTGAGTTCTGGATTCCATAGGGCAACATGGGCCAGATGACACCAGCACACACAGTTGTAAAACAGGAACTCAGATGAGGGTGTCTCGGCCTTTTCATAACTGGCAAGAAGCAGGGCTGCCTTTGCTCTGATGGTTTCTCACTTTTGTCGCTATTAACCGCTTTGGACCAGGTCATTTTGCACGTGGGGTGGGGTGTCTCTTGTGCAACGGTAGGATGTTTAGCAGTATCCTCCTTTCCAGTTGTGACAATCAAAAATGACCCTAAACATTACCAGTATTACCCAGTTGAGAAATGCTGTTGTAAGCAAAGCTGCCCTTTGCCCTGGAGGGAGGCAGTATCTTTCTGTTAAGAATATTCACAATACAAAACATTCATGGATAGTCAGAACAAAATGCAGTGTTTTGCACAAAAGATGTGCGTAAGTGTGTTACCCATGGAGAATTATCACCGAAGAGAAACCTGACCACCTTTAGTCTCTTTGATAAAGTTACTATCACCAGCAATGTTATATATTGACATATCCCTCCTATAAGGCACGCTGAGAAAGGCATAGCATCATTTCTGTGGTATTTTTACCGGGATGGAGTCCACAGTGATGCTAATCTGGGAACCACACTTGCGAACCACTGCTTTATTCCTAGAGTTATACTAGCCAGTGTGTGTTGTAAGGTAAGAAATAAAAGCAAATTAACTATTCCTTCATTGTATCTCTTGTCTGTCCCTGATAGGCAGCATGGTGATTCATTTGATGCTTCCAGAAACCAGAGAAATCTATGAATTAGAGAAATTATGGACCCTACGTTCTTATGATGACCAGTTAGCTCAGATAGCACCTGAGACAGTACCTGAAGACTTCATTCTTGGAAGAGAAGAAGATGATACTTCATCTGTGACTCCAGTGGAGTTCAAATGTGAATAAAATATTTTATGCACTGCTTTAGTCATTTCAGATTTGGATTGAGTCACTTACTGGAAAATTCAGCTCCTAAAGCCCGCCTCCTTGGTTAGGCTGCTCTTAGGACAAGGCTTGTCTACTTCATGGGCACTCCTGCTAACTGACATGCAGAGACTGTAGATAAGTGGGCTAATACCTGCAACCAAAAATCAGTACACTCTACCCAAAACTTATGACACACTGCCTTTATCCTAGAAATGTCATCAGAATTTCCTGGAGTGAGTTAGCACTGGCTCCTGTGATTGAGTTCTCTGCTCAGATTTTTATTAATTTAGCTTAAATGTAAATCTTAACCCCGTTTAATGGAATGGCAAAAATTTTAAAAAGTAACATAAAATGTACCACCAGCCCACTGGTCCTATTTTTATACTTTTTCTTTGAGGTGATAATATTCTTCTAGGAGGACTTCGGTAACCCTTCCACAATACTCCAGTAACAAAAGAAAGTAAACAAAGTGTTAGGAAAAACTCTGAAAGCTCTAGTTCTTAACATATGCAAGAGTATTATCAAGGTTCACATTAAGTAAGTACCATGGCTGGACATGGTATAACAGAAATCTGTCTATAGAGTTTGAAAAACTCAAATTCAGAATGTTCACATACAATTGAAAACCAAAAATAAAATGTACTACACAACAAACTGCACCTAAATGATGAAAAACTTTATTCTGCGTCAAGATACCTGGAAAATGAAGCTGCATTTGGGGCACATTATACATGAGGAATGATCCATATATGGTGAGTACAAAACTCAATTATAGAATTATTTCTTAGCTAGTACCAGATACTCCAAATTACAAATGCTTAAGTAAAAGTAAAATACGATTTGCCATACTAAAAGGCTAGAAGTGAAATATGACAGAATTTAAACCAGCAGATATAAATGCAGCACCTATGTGTATATTGATTAAAAATCAAATATTGGGGGAAAAAAAATATGAGAAAAGCTCTGGCCTTAAACACATCTCACCTGAAATCCAACCAGAAAGCCAGTCCATGATTTTAGCAATTTTAATTCATTGTATGAAAAAAAAAATTATGAATGCTAGGAGAATCCAGTGACAAAAAGGGCACTTTTTTGGTTAAAACTACAAAAGAAACTTGTTTTGTGAGAACATTAAGGAAAACATTTTAAATCATTTTCAAAATGTCTAGTTGATACGATCTTCAGAAAAACAGTCCGTATAGAAATTCATCTTGAAATAAGAATGAGGCAGTGATTTTTTTTAAAGGGATATATATATATCCTTTAGATCAGTGTAGTATGACTGTGATCATCTTACAAACAAAAAATCAATTCAGAGAGCAGCGTGGCCTTGGAGACCACCCACACCCAACATAATTGTACACACTGGACTTCGCTGTCAAGCTAAGGAGTGAGCAAATGAGTTCGGCATCAAAGGTCATATGTTTTCACAGTCATTCAAATTATATCCCAAAAACTTTTATTCTCTATCTTTTGACTTTTTTTTTTTTCCCAAAGAACTGATTGCAGAGTATACAGAAGTCCTGCTATACTTATGTACTACTTTAGGTGGAGTCTAATTTTTTTTTTTTTAATTTATCAGTGCTTAAAAATCTTCAAAATACTAGTGAGGCTCATGACAGTGCTGGCTGCATGGAAATGTAGCCTTTTGTTGCCTTTAAACACTGTCACACCATCTATGACTGTCCCATTGGTCTGAAGTGTACTGGCAAACTAAGCATCCTGTAAGACAAGCTAAAGCTTGCTTTTTGCCAACTAGTTGAAAGTCCTGCATCTCTTCATTGATGCACTTTCTTTAGGTATTGATAGTCAAAAGCACAAAGCATTTATTATGCATTCAATCATGTAGCTAAACAAAAAACTGAAGTCTCCTGAAGCCATTTAAACCAGCCGTTCCAAAACCTCCTGCCACCACTTTGTTAGTACCATCAAAAACTTTCTCAACTATAAATGAAAGAATAAATGGTAGTGCTGCTCTCCAGATATTAGGCACTGCTCCGTATCTTTGAACATTTTATTTTTTTACCTAATAACTGTGTCAAAAGCCTCAAAAAACCCTGAAATTAATTTTCCAGCTTTACTGTCACCAGCCAGAAGTAAAATTCTTAATTTGCCTGTTAGCTGATTGCTGTTAAATTTTAAATTTATTTTTTAAAAAACGGTTGGACTTCTATCATTATAAAGTATATAAAATTTTCAAAAAAAAGGAACAATTTTGCTTTTCATTGTATTATTGAATACCTGAGGTAGTTGAGTAAAAATGCACATTTAATACCCCTGCCAACACCATTCAGCACTTCCCTTAGGTTACTCATGTTAGTGTTAGGTAAAAATAAAACTGAGAACAGTTTTTCTATGCTAATGGCTTAACATTTAAGTTCCTGTGATAATTATTCTGATCCAATTGTAACAATTGGATTTAGGAGCAATCTGTTTGATGAATTTAGTGAAAGCATCATTAAGCCAATTTCTGGCATTATGGGGGAATATTAAGAATAATTAGAATATCTGTTATACTGTGAGACTACAACAAAGGGAAGTGCATAGAGCTCTTCTCTTTCCCTCCCTCCCCTACCCTTTTTTGTTTGTTTGTTTTAAAGCTGGGTGTCATACATTTCAGAGAGCATAAAGTATACATTCTCACAGAGACAGGAGTTCAAAAGTTGCCTGGTCCTCAGAAACAACTGGCTAGGTAAAAACTTGTGCATGTGATTCTGGATAGGGGGTCAGCGCCCGTCTGTTGGTTAAGCAATCTGTCTTTGGTTTGGCATCTGCCTCTGTGGTGGGCTGTTTCCTGAGCCTTTACTTCCGTCTTGACTGAGGTGGTCCACTTTGCAGAGCCTTCTGTTGTTGGTGCTGCTTTACCTGAGTCAGAATTTCCTGAATTTTTCTCTGGGCAACCTGGAAAAGGACAGAGCTTTGAAATTCTACTTGATGAAAAGCTACTAAAAGTTATTGTAACCCCTCATTTCAACAATTTCAAATAGAAATCCATTTGATGATTAAAGATACATACTAGTCAGTTTGCTAGTAGTCTCTGAAATCACCTGCTAAAAGGGAGATGAAAAGTCTTAATCATCAAACAATCTTAACTAATTCTATCAGGTAGGAGCACCTGTGGGAAAATCGCTTCCAATTGAGAAAGATACAAAAGCTTATCCATTTTAGAGCCCACTTGCCTGGCAAGCATAGAAGTGACCAGTTATTTTGACAACCACTTGGTCATTCTCATCAGGTGTCTGGTCACGAGGGACAACAACTTCTGCACTTGACAAATTCTGAAGTTCATTCACCTGAAAGAGATAAATATAAATCACATTAAGTGGCAGTTTTAAAAGCTTCCTTCCTGAGCACTTACTGTGTGCCAGACACTGAGCTATGTATGGCTTTACAAATTTCATTTAGTCCACTAGTAATTCCATGAGGTTATTAGAATTATCCCCATTTCAAGATGATTAAGCCTCATCCAAAGAAATTGATTTGTCCAGTTACACAAGTGAATGGCAAAACCAGATTCAAATCCTGAGTCTGATTCCAAAGTGTATGTACTCGGTCACTTCAAAATTATAAATAGCTTTGAAACCCACTTATAAGTTATATGTATTAGAAACTAGAAACAGTTTGCTTTTTTTCCATTACAGATGTAATGAGCTGTAGATGAAATTCTTAAAATTCCTGTTAAGTGTCTGTTCAATAAAAAGCTGAAGTTTTATCAAGAGAACGTTAAATGCTCTTTATAAATATAGGACAATCCTCTCACACAAAGTGATCTGAAAGAGATGCATTACTTTCACTAATAGCTGGCGCCAACACTCAGACAGGAAACAAAAGGCAGTCTTCTCCAAACCTTGGTCAAGATGGTCCTGCTTTTTATAAATTAGCCAAAATTCGGGGACTTGGAACTCCTAAGTACCTTTCAACGCTTTCCCTTTCATACCACTGCACAGGTTTTGCTGAAGTACTTGCCGTTTTGCCTCCTTTTCCAATAACTCTGCCAGCAGCAAAGGATGGCACTCTGATATGAGCTTCAAGTTTCACCTCTTCTTTAGGACTAACAAAGTTTTCTTCTTTAATTTTTCCATAAATTCTTCCCTGAGCCTACAGATTAAAACACATCCTATTAGTGTCATTCATGTATGAAATGGAAAAGATCAGTTAACTCGAAAGTGGGATATCCCAAATCCAAGTGGGATAGCCCTTTGCAGTGACACATCTACATTTCATAGATTATTGAAAATAACATAGAAGAGAGCAGTTAGGAAGTCCTAAAAGGTTGACAATAACTACTACCCATCGCAGTAAAGGCAACTGAATGCTTGGTGGAAGAAGGATAAGCCATATTCTTCTGATGAAAATAGTTAAAGGCAGTTAATAGCCTAATAAAAATAAATTTTTGTGGGCAAATGGCCATTTGTACTAAAATTGTGATAGGTAAAACTTCTCATGCTGGCCATGAGAAATTAATTGCATTTTTCTTTCCTTTTTTTTTGGAGATGGGGTCCTTCTGTTGTCCAGGCTGGAGTGCAGTGGTGTAATCATAGCTCACTGCAGCTTCAACCTCCTGGGCTCAAGCGATCCTCCCACCTCAGCCTCCTGAGTAGCAGCTGGGACTACAGGCATGCAACACCACACCTGGCTTTTTTCTTTTGAGACGGAGTCTTACTTTGTTGCCCAGGCTAGAGTGCAGTGGCACGATCTTGGCTCACTGCAACCCCTGCCTTCCAGGTTCAAGCAATTCTCCTGCCTCAGCCTCCCGAGTAGGTGGGATTACAGGTGCCCGCAACCACACGCGGCTAATTATTTTTGCATTTTTAGTAGGCATGGGGTTTTACCATGTTGGTCAGGCTGGTCTCGAACTCTTGACCTCAAGTGATCTGCCCACCTCAGCCTCCCAAAGTGCTAGAATTACAGGCGTGAGCCACCGTGCCACTAATTTTTATAGAAATGGGGGTCTTGCTATGTTGCCAGGTTCATCACAAACTCCTGGGCTCAAGAGTCCTGCCTTGGCCTCCCAAAGTGTTGGTATTACCAGTGCACGCCACCACACCTGGTCACATTTTTTTTTGAGCAAAAGAGACTGAGAACTGCAGAGTCAGCTATGCCAGGCTCACTAAAAGTCAAACTCATGTCTAGATGGGCCAGTTAGAAACCTGCTGAGAAAAATGTTTTCAATTTAAATGTGTTTCATACTCTTAGAAGGGTGGTTTTTCCTTTGAATATTTTAAAGAGGCTACAACATCAAGACGACACTTTTTTTTTTCTTTTTTGAGACAGAGCCTTGCCCTGTCATCCAGGTTGGAGTGTAATGGTGTGATTTTGGCTCACTGCAACCTCCGACCCCTGGGTTCAAGCGATTGTCCTGCCTCAGCCTCCCGAAGTAGCTGGGATTACAGGTGCCCGCCACCACACCCAGCTAATTTTTTGTTGTTATTTTAGTTGAGACGGGGATTCACCGTGTTGGCCAGGCTGGTCTTGAACTCCTGACCTCAGATGATCCACCCACCTCGGCCTCCCAAAGTGCTGGGATTACAGGTGTGAGCGACTGTGCCTGGCTTTAAAAAAAATTTTTTTTTTTAAGAGACAGAGTCTCTTTCTGTCACTCAGACTGGAGTGCCATGGTGTGATCTCAGCACCCTGCAATCTCTGCCTCCTGGGTTCAAGCGACTCTCCTGCCTCAGCCTCCCAAGGAGCTGGGATTATAGGCAGCTGCCACCATGCCCAGCTAATTTTTGTATTTTTAGTAGAGATGGAGTTTTGCCATGTTGGCCAGGCTGGCCTTGAACTCCTGCACTCAAGTGATCCACCCACCTAGGCCTCTCAAAGTGCTGGGTGGCAGGTGTGGATCACTGCACCTGGCCAAGAGACTTCTGATATTTAGAGTCAATACATCCTATCACCTACTGCATGCAACTAGAAGTTATATATAAATATCCTATTACATACAACCATCAGTCAGCAAAGGAGAAAGGAGCCCGAGAGTTGGTTTGACAAACTGCCAAGGTAAACCACAAAAAACAATAGTACCCAACACGTGTTCACTGCTTCAGAAAGCTGAGCTCATTTTAGGGCATTATAGACAAAATTTGTCTTGATACCCTATATTCCATTGATCCTTAATGCCTCAGGGCAATGATGTAGATATTACTACTACTTAACACAATCAAAAGCACACTAGGGATATGTACACTATCCTCCAAAACTGAAGCTCTTGAATTTGTAAGAAAAAATACGGGGTAGGAGGTTTACCATTCCTTAGATCTCTAAAATAAAACATTCAGTTAGCATTGTCACCAATCACATAAATGAAATTTAACCACTATGGCTTAAGTGTTAACATTTAAGTGAACTATAAAACATGAGTTTTATTAGAGAATACAGGGAAAGAACTTTGAAGTTCCTATTATACAAGCATCATAGGAGTTGCAGGACAGTAATTCCACTTATAAGAGTAAAAGCTCAGCACCAAGAAGAGATACATTTGTATTTATCTTTTAAGATTTCAAACTAAAGGTGACCCTGAAGGTTTGGGATAGGAAGCAGTTTTCAACAATTCTGAGTTAAGATTTGAACTGCCTGGATCACAAGGCTGCTGTGAAGGAATACATTTCTTCGCATTATTTTCTTTCTTCACCTAATCACCCACAGCTCAAAGCACCTCCTTCATTTCCCATTCTTCCCACAAATGAAGTGAAAGCAGCTTTGGATTTGTTTTTAACATTCATATATTGTGTAAACCTTAAACTACCTTAGGATGTAGGTGCTCTTATCCTGGTTTTACAGAAAAAAGTTAAGTAACTTGCCCAATGTCATACAAGGCAAATGGGCAAGGCTAGGATTTGAACTAGCGCCTGGCTGCCAAGTCCCTGCTCTACCACCTCTCAGTAACATTGAAAGGC